ACCAGGATCGGAGTCTTCTCCTTGCGCCGGTTCTGCACCAGAACGCGGAGGGTGAGCAGGGCGCGACCGTACGTTTTATTGGCGCGTATGATCTCGTGGCTGGCAGACGCAGCGGTCCCGGTCATTGTCCTCACGTAGTGATCCCTGAGCGCTCCTGGATCTACGGTGTTCATCAAGGACTCTAATCTGTCGAAGAAAACACGTCGTTAGAAGTCTGCACACAGGTCGCCAAGCTACGGAAATGGACCTACTCGCCGTCGACGCGGCCATCGACAGTGACCCAGCACCCCACATCATCGGCGTGTGCGTGCGCAAAGATGGGATGGTGCGGGAAGCGCTCCTCGGGGTTGGGCTCGTATTGGAACGCCATGGTGTTTGGGAGACGTGCGAAACCCTTGCACTCGTCTTTGTGGCCCGCGCGGAAATCTGCACGCTGACAGTCCGTGTCGCAGTAGCGCGCCGCTCTACAGATCATGAGAGTTAGCGTACGTTCAGTAATGACAATGAGTATTTGACCCACTTGCAGTGAGAGCATGTCTGCAGCGGCTTTCTTTGACTGCCTCGTTAGCACATCTCGGGGCCCCCGCCATTTAGTCCCTTCATTTTCGATGACCAACGACCGCTCAGTGTGGGGGAAACCGGCGCGAGGTACACATCGAGGCGAGAGAGGTATACCGGAGCCGTGCAGGTCGGGTGATGCTGGTGAGTCGTATCGGAGGACAAGGGCCTTCGAATCGCGAGATGCAAAGGCTAATCAGTGTGTTCCACTATTTCGGGTCTCTGACCGCCTCGGAAACCTTGTTTTTTCGGAAAGAAGCGGCGGCATGGCGGCCCGGGGTTACCCTGGACTGCGTATTCAAAGCTCATTCCTGCAGTGTTTCACGCGCTGATGCCTGCGTATTCAAAGCTCATTCCTGCAGTGTTTCACGCGCTGATGCTGCACCATGTCTCCACCTCTTGATGGAGGCCGGACTCGATTGCTTCGTGCCAAGTGCACCTAACACCGCGGCGGGCGCACGCCGCCTTGCTTCTGAAGACGGTGCCGAGTTCAGGTACGTGTACAGCCACACGTCCGCTCTGCGTAGCATTGCCGGTCATCAAAAGCCTAAAGATCGGATATGTGGCTCTCTATCAGGGCGTCCTAATTTACCGCTACGTATTCCTTCCTACTGCTACTAAATACCACAATTCGAGCAGCGTGAGACGGCACGCAGCCCTCATTTTCGGAGACGAGCTCGGCGCCAGGCGTAGTGGAGAACCAGCTGCGCGCATTGCTCGACGCCCAAGGCGCAGAACAATCGAAAGGCAGCTTAGCACGGGCACTGGCGGTCCCCCATTGGAGAACCGTGGCCACCTAGCGATCGTGCCCGGTGCAGCGGACTCGTGCGCAGGCTTACCGGACGAATTGAACGTCATTTCAGTGCGTTGTCGGGGGCGTGCCTATCTATCATGGTACCATTCGACCTACCCAGGGCAGTCGGGGCCGCGAACTGTCCAGAAATCTGTGCGCACAGAGCAGACCCAAGGTCAAAGTAGGCCTCCCGTTCTCCACACAACGCGGGTTTCTAACCATACTGAACTGTACCTGAATTAGGTCATCCATGGGCCGCGCCGCAACGACGTCTAGAATGACTGTCCGCGGGGAAGTGCACCCCGCTCGTCCGCTTCCAAAACGCGCGCGGGAAGTCGTCGGGACAGACGCGACGCAGATGAGGCGCCGCCACTGACGAGCCGCAGGGCACGAAGCTCCGTCCGCGTCGTAATTTCAACTCAATAATTTCGTAACCCGCATGCGCGTGCACCTAAATAATGTTAATGTCTGCGCAGACCGCTCAAATCCGCTACGAGGATGATGACCAGGCATCGGTCGAAGCCACGCCGGCGGCAGCAACTTCGTAAGGCCACTATAGGTGCATCAGGTTGTTCGAGTAATGACACATAACCTGCCGCATAGGCCCGACACTGCGCTGTAGCACCGCGACGTCAGGCACTTCGCAGACACGGCGGCGGCGCGTACTGAGGGGCCGGCATCCGCAGACTGTGCTGGTGGGACATCACAGCGGTGCCGGCCTGGCCAGCGCTTCCTACACATTCTCAC